TTTTAACGTGGTTTGGAATGTTTGAGGGGAGGAGGGACAACTTTCTGCTATGTATAAAATGAATTTTTGGAATGAAACGTTTCATTCTAGGTGACAAGGGCCTGACTATAGCAAGTTTGATTGTATATGACATATGATTTTTCCAATTCTACTTTTGCTTGCATGTTTTTAATAAGAGATGAGTAATATAATTTCTTGGAACTGAGGATAGATTCCTCCGCCATTGACCTTGGGAGGGATAGTCACTCCTGTACCTCTATGCCTTCATATCATGAGATGTTGACTGACCAGTTTCTGTAAGCAGCTGTTTATTGGTCTTTCTTCTCATTATTCTCTGATTCCAGATCGCTCCGGTTATCATGTGGAGGTGTTTTTATCTCAAATCTTTCAATACTTTTTTTATTTGCCGATGGCTGATGTCCAGGTCTCACAGCTATTTATTACAACTGGCTTTATTATAGCATTGCTGACTCTTTATTTGAGACTTTTCGGGATTTCAATACCTTTGAAAGGGATAAGAAAGCTCTGTTATGGTGGAGGCGAGGTACTTGAATTATTTTTTATGAGAAATGCTTTATAAAATATACATAAATTAGAAATTTCAGCGTACACGAATTTCATTTCATTTTCTACTGTTGGAAACGCTTTTTCTTCTACGCAGATCCTCTTATTGCGATGGAATTTTCGGCTTACATGTGATGTTGTTTGTTATAAATGTTTGTATATTATGTATGTTATAAATGTTTGTACATGTGATGTTGATATATGTTAAAGGTGATATTACGCACATTTCAACTCCCATTCATCCATAACAATTGCGGCTGAGAATCGAACATACTAGACTGACACACCTCCACCTCATAACAAAAAATCTTATCCCCAAATGTCAAAAGTGTGACCAGTCATTAACTATAAAACATATTTTGGAAGAGTGCCCTTTTTGCACCTTAAGATTAAAAGATCTCGGAATACCCCAGAATATATCTGCATCCCTGGGAAATCAAGAAGAAATCGTTACCAAAGTTATCAAGTTCCTGGATAGTGAAATACTTAAAAAACATATATGACACGCTTATAAATAATGATCCTTTGCAGATTTATTATTATTGTATTTTTTTTTAAGTTCATTTGTTTATTAATTTTAATTCATTTATTGATTTTACTACTATTTTTTTAAAGTTTATATATTTATCTATTCAATCTCATTATCTATAAGTGTTTATTATTATCCTTATTTATATATTTTGTTCTATCAATCCATTTCTTTATTTTTTTTTTGTACCAACCATCCAAACAGTATTAAGTAGTGTTATTTAGTTGATCGGGCGCTTATGACCTGGATGTTTTGCGCCTAGACATCGAAAAAAAAATAAACCAAATCGAAATAGTTGTATTAAAATTAACGTAATTTTTATGCTTCATACCGCATAATCTCTATCACTTTTTGTAAGATTACTGTCCGTTTATAATTATGAATAACAATAAAAACATGTATTCTTGATCTATTAAAGATTTTATATTATGTTGCTTAAATCGGTTGTTCCTCGCGCGGGCTCATTACCGCGTATGGGGAGCGTCCCACGGGTGGCGGATGTGGGGATGGTCGGTGGAAATTCCTTGGAAGTTCCTCCCGGCTAAGTCCGATGGACTCGCTGACCAACAATGAGAGGGGCCCTCCAGACTTGCTGGAGGGAGGGGACCTCCAGACTTGCTGGAGGTAGGGGCCCACCAGACTTGCTGGAGGGTGTGACGTAGGATTGAACGCCCTACTCACATATCTTTAGTTCACCAAACACCACAAAAAGTCATGGATCTCCCTAAAGTAAAACGCTCATTATCCGGAGGTAAACTAGTCCCCCGTTCGGGTCTCCGGGTGGGGACTGCTTTAGGGGATTCATGCCGCAAGTTGAAATATAGGGATTTAAATATTGGTACGTGGAACGTAAGGAGTTTAAACACAGCAGGGGGGCTAAAATGGGTCGCGTATTAGGTAAATGGGTACAATTTGGATGTCGTGGCTCTGCAAGAGGTTCGCTGGCCAGGGGAGGGCTCGATGAGTGAAGGGAAGTACACTATTTGGTACGGAGGAAGCGAGAATCATTGTTTAGGTACCGGGTTTCTAATTAGGCGTAGATTACTATCCGCTTTGAGGGACGTACAATTCTTTAGTGATAGAATTTCGGTAGCTACATTTCAGGGACGTTGGTTTAAAATCGCATTAATAAACATACATTGTCCGACCGAAGACAGTGACGATGAAGTCAAAAGTGAATTTTACGATAAACTCGAATGGGTTTATGATAAACTACCACGAAACTACATGAAAATAATTGTAGGTGACGCGAACGCAAAGGTAGGAAGGGAAGAAGTTTATATTCCGACGATTGGTAAAGAAAGTTTGCACGAATATAGTAATGATAATGGGATCCGTCTGATAAACTTTGCCATCTCGAAAAACCTGATAATTAAAAGTACGACGTTTAAACATAAGGATATTCATAAATATACTTGGACATCACCGGATTCGCAAACACGAAATCAAATCGATCATGTCTTGATACAACACAGCTGGCAAAGCAGTATAGTTAATGTACGGTCTTATCGCGGAGCAGAATGTGGGTCGGATCATGAATTAGTAATCGCGAAACTTCGACAAAAACTTAATATAAAAAAGAGAAAAGAAAACCGTTTCGATTTTGAGAATTTTAATTTGGAAAAATTAAAAAATCCATCAATTAGAAACCAATTCGAGCTAGATGTTAAGAATAGGTTTGAAGCTTTAGAGCTTCCTGACGAGGACCACGAGGATATTGACAAGTTATGGATAGAGATCAGAGATAATATTAAAGCGGTCGGTAGCTCGTGTCTAGGAAAAAAGGAAAATAAGAATAACAAATCGTGGTTTGATGAAGATTGCTTAAACATGTGTGAAAAAAGAAAAGCCGCTAAATTAAAAGCTCTAAATAATCCTAGCGAAGACAATCTGGAATACTTCCGAATCTCAAAGAACGAAACGACAAAATTGCTAAAAAATAAAAAAAGGGAGTATCTTAAAAATAAAATAATTGAAATAGAAACTAACAGAATCGAAAATAACGTAAGAGACATGTACAAAGGTATAAACAGATCACGAAAATATGTAGGGCCCGTAACGTCTGGAATCAGGGATGATAATAACAATATTCTGACCGATCCGGTTGACATATTGAATAAGTTTAAGGACCACTTTGACAATATTTTAAATACGGGAAATTATGATCTGTGTCCTCCTTCTGAGTACCAGAGTGCTGAACCGTTAATAGAAGGACCAAGTAAAGAGGAAGTTGAAGTAGCTATCGGAAAATTAAAATCATATAAAGCAGCGGGAATCGATAATATTCCTACTGAACTAATTAAGGCATGCGGAGAAGCTGGAGTTTCTAAAATACATCGGTTGGTTAAAAAGATCTGGGTGAACGAGAAATTACCTGAAGAATGGAAAGAATCTATTCTTATTCCGATTCACAAAAAGGGTCCGAGGACGGATTGTAATAACTATCGAGGAATTTCACTCCTTCCGGTATGTTATAAAATATTCACTTTAATCTTAACCAGTCGAATCACGGAATACGCTGAGGAAATTATCGGAGACTACCAATGCGGATTTAGACGGAATCGTTCGACTATTGATCAAATATTTTCTTTACGGCAAATATTAGAGAAAAAATTGGAGTATAACGGTATTGTTCACCAGCTGTATATAGATTTTAAAAAGGCTTACGATTCTATTGACCGCCAGAAACTGTATAATATTCTAATAGAGCAGGGGATTCCAAAAAAACTAGTAAATCTAGTCAGGATGTGCTTGACGGAGACACTCAATAAAGTTAGAATCGGTAATAATTTGTCCGAAAAATTTGAGGTTCGTTCGGGCTTAAAACAGGGGGATTCTCTTTCGCCTGTCCTGTTCAATTTGGCATTAGAATATGCCATTAGGGAGGTAATGCGAACCGAGAAAGGGTTGGATCTGGGCGGGACAACATCCGTGCTGGGCTATGCTGATGATCTGGTACTGTTAAGCGAAGACGTTGAAACTATAAAACTAAATACGACAATGTTAATGAAAGCCGGGAAAGAACTAGGACTCGAAATAAACGTGGATAAAACAAAATATATGGTTAGCTGCAAAAATGGCAATACTACTGGTGATATCGATATAGATGGTAATATGTTTGAACAGGTAGATAAATTTAGGTATCTAGGTTCTACGATAACTAGAAAAAACGAAATTGAAGAAGAGATTAAGGTTAGACTGAAGGCGGGGAATGCTTGTTATTTTTCTGTGACAAAACTACTTAGTTCGCGCCTCTTGTCCCGAAACTTAAAAATTAGAATCTATAAAACAATTATCTTACCTACAGTTCTTTATGGATGCGAAACTTGGCCGCTTACATTAAGGGATGAGCAGCGTCTTAAGGTTTTTGAAAATAAAGTATTGCGTAGAATATTCGGACCGAAAAAGGATGAGTTAACCGGAGAGTTCAGACGGTTACACAACGCCGAATTGCGTGAGATGTATCCGGGTAATATAATTGATGTAATTTCATCGCGGCGAATCAAATGGGCTTGTAAAGTTGTTGGGCTTAGTAACGAGAGAATTCCTAAAAGGTTAATATTTGCTGTGCCGAATGGTAAGCGTCCGAGGGGCAGACCGAAGCGAAGATGGGAAGATTGCATTAAAGCCGATCTGAAGGGACTGGGTTTGGACGGCGAACGGTGGAGGGAGGTGTGTAACAAGCGATTGGTGGTGTCGGCATCGAACCTTCGGGTTCGCTAAGCCTTATTATTATTATTATTATTATTAAATCGGTTGTTATTTATTTTGTATGTATGGTGTAAACACTTTTTTTTTTATAAGTAAATGCCACCGAAAATGATTAAATTAAATTGGCTTTATAGAGCGAAATACTTGAAATGCCTTTGTTGTCAACATATTAATAACTCCCATTTAAAACTTCCAGGTTGTGGGCGGAGGTGTTCCACGTCTCCTCCAGCGGGGCTGGAACGGTGAAGTGGCAGCAGGTTTCGGAGGATTTGGTACCGGTCAACATCACGTGTATCCAGGACTCACCAGAGTGCGTCTTCCATATCACCGCCTACAACAGCCAAGTCGACAAGATACTAGACGTTCGACTCGTTCAACCAGGTAAATCTGATTGGAATTGACAAATGCAAAACGCAAACTGGTATAATTTATTTTGTCACGTAATATTGTTAACAATCGTGGATCTTGTTGTAACTAAGAAAAGTTTACATTAAGATGTACGGGTTGTTAGAGAAATACTGTTTGTATTTAAAAGTAGGCGCTGTCAGTAACGGATCAAGTATTTAAATTTGAGGTGCTTCAGCCTAATGCTGTTTGTTTTACAAGTATAGTAAGTATAATTGCATGTATAACAATTTTTATTCAGTTGTATTCAGTAAGGCAAGTCTTTTGTGACATAGAACGGCATAGCCAAAATTTTTAGGAATACTTTTGTCTGATGGGAAAGCTTTGTTTGGATGTTCGAGGTTTTGGCAGAGCTCCATAGCTCTATTTCTTCTACATCAATAAAGTTTTTATTAGTTCTTTATAAATTCTGGGTTTGCTAGTCACGTATAATTTAGAGCTTCAATCATTTTAGTCTGTCCGATGTCTAGTAAAGTTGAATAACACTTCCAGTCAAGACCGAAAAGTAGAGCTTCTGGTTCATTTTGCTACAAGATTTTTGGAGGCTGCAAACAGTTAATATTTGTTGAGATAACAAGAGTGAGATTGTCAAGATTATCCAGAAATAAGTAATTTGAATTACCAATGATTAAAATAAAATTGTAATCAGCTGAAAACGCTGATGAAGTGACCGAGTTCCATCAAGGAAATGGCTTTGTAAAAGATATCTTGGAATAATAAAAAAAAAAAATTAAGATCGGAAGTATACCTACTGATTCCATTTTTTTTTTCTTTTTGTTTAAGAGCCAAAGTTGGAACTGTAATCTATTGGGGAATCAGTCCTTTCAACCAGCTATAAAATATTTACACTAATTCCATCAAGCCGAATCACGGAATATGCCGAAAATCAATGTCAGGAACAATCAATGTGGAATATCTACATGAACTAATAAATCGACTAGCCTAAATATAGAGCATTGATCTTTTGGGTAATTTCGTATGAAGGAAACCTCATACTTTTAATATCCTCACAACCGGTCCCGCAACATTGTCCAATATAATTTATTTTGCTATATTTACAATTTTTTTAGGAAGTCGTAATTTAATAAAAGGTCTAGACATTCAAAACTTCTCTATTTTCTTCTTTATTATTTAACTCACTCCTTTGCTGAATGCTCACTAGTTTGCGTTTTGGTGTTATAAATCCTATCTTCAGAACCATATAATTCTTGTTAATGCTAAGGCAAACATTATTTTAAAATATTTTTTTTAAAATATAATATTAAATAAATTATAATTATTTAAATACTTAATTGTATCTAATAATAATAATAATTTATTTATTCTGAGACGAGTCCCTTTAGAATAATACACACAGACAGAAATGTGAGGCTTTGGAGCTTCAGAAATATATAAGATTAATCATTATAATAAAAATTTAGAAGTTACCTTGCAACTTTAATCGATTAAAAAAAAAATGAAATTGAAATAAATTAAAACGAACTAATAATATATATACATATTTACAGCTATATCTATTTATAATTTTATGGGGACTGGATTGAACAGGCGGGATTTAAAGGTAGAGAGTGTATTTGAACGACGGATATAGCAAAGCATTAAGTTTTCGAAATAGAAATAGAAAATAAACTATATTCTGGGACGATGTCCCCTTAGAATAACAATAATGAACAGTTACAAAAGAAAAAATACATATCTGTATTTTACATGGACAGGATCGAATAATAAAAAATCTATTGAAAGCAGAGGTTCAGTGGCACGTATATACTGGCATTTAAAACCACAGAACGTTTATTAAATGATTTGCATAGGTGATAGTAAGAACAACCACGTATTTTAACAACAATAATTTATATAAGTTAATTTTAAAATCATCTTTACCAGAGAATCGAATAGAATAATATGATTCTGAAGATTGGGATTATAACCTCGAAACGTTAAATATAATTGCAACAATAAAAAATAAAATACTGAAGAGATTTCAGTACCTAGGCACTCTATGAAAATAACAAAATTATAAAATACTACAAGATATACTATATTAGTGAATTCATTGCGTGACCGGTTGTGGGGGTATTAAAATTGGTCTTCATTCATAATTCATTATCTAAAACATAATTTTCGACTCTGTTTATAGATTTGTCCAATTAAAAATGCATGTAGTCAATCCAGATTGATTATTTCTGACATCAATCTGACGTATTCCTTAATTTGGCTTGTTGGAATTAGTGTAATTTTTTTTTTTATGTGGTTGAAAGTACAGATCTCCAATAGACAGTTTCGAATTTGATCTTTAAAAAATAAATAAAATATTATGGGAGCAGTATATATTACTTATTTTTCTGTTGTAAGATAATCTTTAATAAAAAATAATAATAAAAAAATACGGATTTTTTTATGACAAAATATGTTAAAAATGTTTCTATTAATTTGTACTAAATTATTATTTTTAATAGGCACCAGGATCGGACAGGCTTCGGAATGTTTTGTCTATTGGAAAGACCCAATGACAAACGACACATGGGGCCTCAACTTCACCTCTCCAATAGATGCTAAACAATTTAGGGAATGTTGCGTAAGTATTCCTTCTCCGTTGTCGAAATCAATGTAAATATTCTTAAATATAATCTATATTATTTTATTATTCATTGTTTCAGTCACCGTCTTTTAAGTTCTCCCGTAAAGCTAGTTCTTCGTATTCGCTAAAATTAGAACCACCAAACAAACAGAACAAGACCAAAGCGAAAAGGAAACCCCTGAGTACCCCGGCCTCACCGAGCAGAAGTAGGGAACCACAATGCACATGCATGACCGCCGATCAGTACGCCAGGCTCAGGGCTCAAGATCCTAGGTACCGAGGTAAGTACATCTCACACCATATGTAACACAAAGTCAAATCCGTAGCCGTACTACATATTTTTACTAATAGCTAAAGAGAGAAATACTTCATTTATAGTTGTTCGGCTACATAGGATTGATTGATACAAAGCTTGATTGATACTAGTCAATCCCTTAGAACAAAATAATAAAGAAATATTGAATAAGAAAAGGAAATAGTTCTGAGGGAGAGTAAACTAATTGATACATTTAGATTTGGTATTAAAGGAACGCGGGATGAGAATATTAAGAATATGGGGACCCTTTTAGGGTTTCTTAAAAGCAAGAAAAGATTCAATCAATACCACTTAGAAGTACTGAAGTATAAAAATCGATTCAAACAAAATCATTGTTACTTTTATTCACAAAGGCAGCTGAGCGTGCTATAGCACGCTAAAGCAAGAAGTGAATGCCTTTTCATTTCCGGCCAACGAAAATCTACTTATATTTTCCATCCTACCCTTGCGATGATAGGTCGCTAACCTACAGCACGGACCACCATCCTGCCTCATAATAATACCTAAAAAAAAACTGTACCACTACAGGCCTTAAAGGGTTATGTTCAGCACTTTTTAAGGAAGTACTATTTCAAGGCCAACGAGTTGTAGAGTGAGGTGATGGGATCGAGATCGCAAGAGCTGCCAAGTTTCTCTCCTTAATTTATAATTTAATGAAGTATAACCACTTTGTAGTGTCTGGGTAAACGCCAGTAGGATCTCCTGATCCCAGAGTCGATCTATGGCTGATGTAACAAAATAAAAAATACCTGCCTCAGCCTATTTCACAAATCACTGACTTTTATGATAAGTGCCTATTTCCCATAATAATACACCATAGCTTAAATGTGCTATAAACAGCTTTAATTTGGAGTGGTGTGAAGTTGAATAAACAACAAAATGAAATATGACAAGGGCTCAACTAAAATACCTAATACTACCGCAGTTTCTTCGGTTCTACAAGAGTCAGGAATATTTCAACGTGCGGTTTAGAGTACCTGACGCCTGTTTCATAGTTTATTAATATCGTTATATATTGTTTTTGTTTTTTTTACTAAAGAAATTTACAACTGCATTAAATAATAAATATAACAAGTAAATATGATCAAGTAACATGATATGTACAACATGAAGAGAAACTATCCATTGGTAGCACTCCAATTATATTTCTATATTAGAAGGTCCGGCGGTCATCTTCTTTTCAGATGCCTCGGAGGGTTATCAGGGATAGAAGAGGAAGCAAGGTTGGAAACGAGAGGGTTCGGATGGTTCAGAAGTTTATTATGAAAGGACAGATATCTGGATTGAGCTAAATCGGAAACATATGGTACATTAAGGTCATTATGGATGATTTTATTTGTGACAAAGTTGGGAGCATTAAGGATTTTATGAAGGATTTTGGATTGTAAGGATTGGATACGAGAGGAATTTGATGGTTTAGTAGAGCCCTAAAGCTCGAATATATTGGTTTAAATTCATTATGAGAAGGATTTGTAAAAGTTGCATACCAACAGAATATTTTACCAGAATTAGAGTTCAAAATTTAGAAAAAACAATAAGTATATTAGAAGTGTTAATGAATATTGCTGTAGCTTATGTCTCCAGTAATTTATTTGTAAAATGGTCATAATTCTTGTATACTTTATGATTTCTATTTATGCATACTTAATAATTGCTAGTAGATATGTGATATTTTAACCTGTAATAAAATATAATATTAAAGAAACCTTTAAATTAAATATTGTGATTCTTTAGGTTCATCTACCCTACCCAGAACGACACCACGAGTAAGCGACATCACCGATGGAAGATCTTCAGCTCTTGGAGACAAAGTGACGGCAGCGACTTCGTCAACGTCGCTGTACGACAACGTCAAACCACGTCAAACGAGAGATCGGGAAACTAGCACAGGACCGTCGCATACAGCAGGCTCACAGACTGATGACGAGAGGGTGAGAATATGTCAAATCAATAAAGAAATAGTCAAAAATAGACAAATGAATCGGCTAAGTAGTTTCTTAAAATGTTGTAAACTAGAATATAGGCAATGAAGGTAAATTAAATACATATAAATATACATATATACGAGAAAAAGAAAAAAAAACTAAAGTTAAACGAATTTTTAAAAGAGATTTTTCTTAGGAATAATATTAGAATTCAAAACGTGTCAGTGGGTGTCAGTACATGTAGTCTCTTATTGGAGAGTGGATATTATGAGTCTGGAAAGTAATTAAATAAATGAAAAATCGTGGGACAGGAAAAACAAATAGTTTAAGGAACGGTAACGGTTTGATATAAAAAAAAAAAAAATTCGGATCCTAGACTTTAAGACTTTTGCCATGATCTAGGTAGAGCCTAGACGAAATGTTAGTTTATAACTGTTATAGTGAGCTTAAAAATATTAGGCCTGAATCCAAATACCTTAGGAATGGGTTTAAACCTAGTTTAGCATTATACAATATTATACAACAAATATTTTGTAAACGGCCTTTATAACAATCGTATGGAACTGCAAAACCGTTAAATAATAAGGGAAACGAAAAACAGCATGAGTCTTTATAAAAACGTATTATTAAGTTCCATGTGTTAGTTTAAAACTATTAAGAAATGAACTTGAACTTGCTAAATCTTAAAATATTTGAGGAAGTAAAAAAGGATGCGTTGGGAGTGACTAAATATTATCTGTCCGGATATCTACTGGAAATAGGATAGGAAATAGGAAATAGGCCTGCAAGTAGTCTGGTGTTAAATGACTTATATGCTAAGCTCGATGTCGACGTTGTTTTGGTATATTGTTATATTTTATACATAGTGCTGCTCAAGATTAAGCACAAGTTAACATGATCAAGCTGTACATGGAATGAACAGTTTCGAATTCACGAAAGTACATTTATGGGAATTAATTAGGCATCTTTGAAAAATTAAAATCCCAAAAAGGCACATCCTACTACACACAATGTAATTTTGAATATTCTATAATACAATGTTTTCAACGTAACATGATTTAATGCGGCTTATTAGTGCTAATTAAAATCATTACTGCTTTAATTAGAACTGCCGTAATTTCCTTCCCTGTCCTTGATCAAGAGGTATACAAACTCCCAGCGGATTCTTTCCAGTAGAGTTTATCCATTACCAAATATCTAAAATGATGCATAGTCTATTTTTAAAACCTAATTTTTAATTCATAGCTTCGTAAATATTATTATTCTTAATTATTGTGATCAGTAATCCGAAAAATAATATGTGATCATCATTATTGTTAGGGCTATAAACGGTTACTATAAAAATTACGTTAATTTCGATGAAACTATTTCAATATTCGGAGCTTAATATCGCATAAACGCATTGGTTAAATCAGTTTAATATGAAGGCGAAAAGATCATTCAATTACTTTCGGGTGGAGTTCCGATTACACTCGGAAATGTTCGTTATTCCATCTATTGTAGGTTCATGCGAGCTAGTGGCTATCCGTTATTTTGTGGATCGTGTTCTAAGTTATTACATATTATTTTGAAATTTATATAATACAGAAATTGAATTGATTGTTTCGTTACATGATAATGTACTGTAAGGTAATTTAAATTCCACCTTAAAATACTGGAACTAGCATTGTCTATAGGTTTAAATATATAACTTCCATTTTTAAGTAAAAACCATAAATAAATTTCTTCGACAAAAAACAACTTATTTTATCAATTTTGATACAAATTAAGCGATTTGACATACCTAAAGTTTAAAATAGTCCGGTAGGAATCTCTTATTTGTGCTAATAATTAAAAACTAATATGAATTTTGGTATAAGAGATGCGACGTATAAGCACATTTTGTTTCCCCAACATGAAGACCAAACTAGTAGGTCATGTGGTGATGGAGTTGCATTATTAAATAACATTGGTATAAGTGCCAGAGGACACCGCAAGCACCCGCACTGCGACATAATTTAAAACTTAGGAGACGGAGTTAACTCCCTACAAGGGCTAATTTGATAAGTCCGACCATTTTGGTCTAATAATGGTAGAAAATTGATAACACTGGTTAATTGTAAGTGATGGTGATACCAGCCGCACTTACGGGAAACACTATTCTCTAGCGAATAATTGAATCCATCGTGGAACCTTAGGAGTGGGTGAGGGTATAAAACTGAGATACAACTCTCATACATGCTGTCCTTAATAGATTCGCTTTAAATCATTTCATTTGAATCCTCTTTCAGTGTCAAGCAATAATATAATATATATTTATATATAATCTAGGTGCATTAGAATTTCCTTCCATCCCAACACCGTATTTTATTGCTGTTTAAACCTAATATGGAGAGTGTTGCGAAATTGACTTAACATAATATAGAAATCTTGTATAGTCGTTTCCAGTTTTTATAATTTTAAATACATAATAACCAGGGGTTCCCTTCCCCCCATCCCTCCCAAGATATGTTATTCTACACTTTTTAAAAACAGTGCAAACGAAAGTATAATTTGAATATTCGTAGATTATGTACCATTCATTATACATAGTGTTATGATGCCGCTTGTCTAATTGAGGAATGATTTGAAACTTCATTTTGAAAAATTCATAACCTTGTCGAAATGTACCCCCTCAAAAATTGAAAACCCCTTCAAAATGTGTCCCCCTCATTAATTTTGATAGCATAACTTACGCCATAAAAAACCCTTCTGGGTACTCCTGATAATAACGTAAAAATATATACCAAATCAATATCCAAAAATACCAAACCAAAAAGCCAATATTGAAAATTGTATGTAGATAAGTACCACAAGAGGTTAATATTATAATAATTCGTGCCGCAATGATAACATTCAGGCGTAATATTAATTTTAAAAGTCATTATTTATTGTTACGCCAGGATAGTTCTCTTTAATTCGCATAATAATCCAGATTGAATCCAGCCGCTACTAAAAACACGAAAACGGCCGATTTATTCCTAATATGGTACGGCAATGATGAGTTGAGACCGTTTATGAATTCAATATCTCACCTCTATGATTCTAAAGATGTGTCTAGACATTTCACAAACTATATGAAACACAATTACCTAACTTAACTAACAGTGACATTATTCCTAAACAAAATTATTTATTTAATTTCTCTTGATATCGACAGCTGATGCAAAATATCAAACACCAGAAACCAAAATACTAGCATAGTGAAATAATCATTTATATATTTGTTTATCCCATAGTTTGTGAAATGTATAAGCCATCTGATTCTAAAATTGTCTATATAATCACGGGCGGATCTACGGGGGGGGGACTTTCGGGCTGAAGCCCCCCCCCCAAAATGGAAAAATACAACCATGTTTTATGGAAAAATTTTTTTTAAAAATACCTCTTAAAGTATTATTGTTCGTGTAATTACATTTAAAAGGACTTAACGAATCCCTTAAACACCATTTCATATAGGTAGTTAGTTTCTTTCTGTTTTTCCAAAGTAATTATCGTTATTTTTATGAAAAAAGAAGGTTTCGGGCTAAAGCCCCCTCCCAAAATTAAATCCTGGATCCGCTAGTGTATATAATTATCGTGAAACAGCTCCAAATGCCAAACTTTTCGTCTCGACTTATAATAAAATTCTTTGTGTTGCCCATTTAGCAGAATTAACCTTCGATCATGTAATATATAATTAAGTCTACATAGTTTGTTTCGTGGAAAAAGTAGAATCTTAACTAAAGATTTGAAATAAAGTTACATACTTAAAATCACTAACTATAAAGAAAAAAAATATGATATTGGAGATTATTTTAAAATTAATCTAAATAAATCATTAAAACTAGTTCAATAATTCATATTTTCTTTTTTTTTTTTACAAGACAAACATTAACTTAACTTTAAAAATAAATTATGCTGATTGATCATCCCTCTGTATAAAATCGTTGCTTAAAATTCTAAATCTCATTTATTCGATAAATAAGATAATGAAAAACTTATTATTAAGTGTAAATTCAGTTTATTAAATATTTAAAAAGTAAAAAAAAAAACTTATAACCGCTTGTAAGTATACCGTTATGAAATAAACCGTGTTACAAAGCAGTAATGGCAAAGCGTTATTGAATTATCACAAATGGACAGGAAGTTGTCTTATTTAATTTTCTCTTTAATACAGACAGTTCTAACAGACAAATGCGAATTTTTTCAGAAAAACACTAAGACAGACTCAACTGGTATATTACCAGTAAAATAAGGTAAAAAAAAATCATATTACATAAATATTTAAGGAAACGATTAATGTTTTCAATTAGGTAAATTTTTAATTTGTAATGCCATAATCTTGAGGTGCATTAAAAAAAAGTATTCTATTTAATTTTTATTATATATTTATTTAATTAATTATATAAATGTGTTGTAAAATCATATAGTTTAAACAGAATATAAACTATAGTAAAACGCCAATGACCCTTTAGTATAGAGGCGAGAAAGAACAGGAAAAAAAATGTTATTTTCTTGAAACTATGAAAACAGAGCTCTTGTGGAAGCCTTATTTCATTATTGCATGTTAAAAATTAAATTGTAGGTACTTCAAAATAAATTCAAAGTAATCATATTTATTGTTCCAAATCACTAAAAACCATCATAAACTATTTTTGCTAATTCTTATTTCTTTAGAATAATGTATTCTTAATTAAAAAATAAATCATTTGTAAAAGGTACTCATGTAAATCGTGTTATTAATATATTTATTATAGTTACAAAATAATTAGTCACTGTTACATATAAAAACGTTTCACCAGCCCAAGCATATTTTTCCAAAATGTTAATCAATATTTAATTTCGTGTTACAGTTACTTACTTGTTACTTTTTTTAATAAGGAAATAAAAACCAAACCATTTTATATACTAAATAGTTTATTGAATTATGATTCATAGTAGCCTGTAAAAAGATTTCAAAGATACCAAATCAGATTTCATGAACGTTTATTTTGCGACAAGGAAAATCTATCACTATATATCTGCTAAGTATATATAAGTTTTAGTATTATACTAGCAGCTTTTAATTTCTAAAACATAACTATGTTCTCCTACAGTATTATAAATATATTACATCTACCTGTGATAATTTTTCTTTTATACTAAAAAATAATTACTTTTAAATAATTACAACATATCTTCCTAAAAAGAAAATGGCGTAGTTTTCTGTTGAAATAAATGAATGTTTAGTAAAAAAATAATAATTATAAAATAGTAAGGATTCAAGTACCTATATACAATGTTAATTTAATGCTATTGATTTTTCTCTATCCATTGATAGTACCACAAGATAATTTATCTCTACTGAAAATTAAGAAAATACTTTGTGTGGCAGATTTTGATACTTGGCAATCTTTTTTCGTTGCATATTACGTTCCACTCAAAGAAAAAAGAAATACTACAAACAATTTAAGAAAATTAATTACGAATAAATCCACGCACCTTGTGTGCTGGTACTTCTTAGTAGACACTTTATTAAATAACAAAAACCGTTAACACAATTAGAACACATCACATCGCGTTATACTTGCACAATTCACTAGCAGCATATTTCCCGCGTTCGTTAATAAAAAGAAACAGTCACTTGATATATCAAAAGGTTCAAACGTAATAATAAGTTTTAAGATTAATATTGTAAAAAAAAAATTACTGTAGCTGAATATTAAAGACTTCTACATTTAAAAAAATAGAACGGCAGTTGTAGAGTCTATAGTCGGTTATGATTTAGAAAAATCTATTTTATCAAAAAATAATTATTTGTGCTTGTGAAAATTCATATGTACCAAAAGTTTAATAAAATATTTTTATTGAATATGAATTAGAAATGACTAAAATCTCTTTTAAATAATATTCTATCATATGAGCAATTAATACAGCTAAGCTGTAGAATTCTCTTCAAGTTCAATTCAAAATGGTCCCAGGAAAGAATAGAAAAAGAAAAATGTTTTCAATTTCAGTTACAATTATAACAAGTAACTGTGAACATTTAGTTTTTATAAACTTTTAGAGAACTTTTAAGTAAGTGAAATAAGGTGTTTTTAAAATTTAAAATCTAATAACAAAGAAAAATAACTTTATATTGATATATAAATGTAATCTGTCTATTAATTGAACAATTTTCTTCTCAAAAATGATAAACGCTTTCTTTTCTAATACCCAGAATTAGAATGCATTGGTTTAATGTAGTTATGTGAATCTCATAAATCAAATATAACTATAACATATATAATATATATATATATATATATATATATATATATATATATATATATATATATATATATATATATATATATATATATATATATATATAACATATATAATATATATATAACTATAACATATATAACTATAACTATAACATATAATTATAATGTGATTACATCCTAAAATTACTTTTTGATTAACTTAATTCTTTAAAGTAATCTAATTCTGAAACTGAACTAATGTTTTATAGTATACAGTTCTTTTAAATATTGATTATTCTAAGATCACAATGATTTACCTATTTAAGATAAATAATTCACTGGTGCATAATATTAATTACTTTATGGTTTAGAATTCATTTAGATTTTTTAGAGTAATGCACTATGTTAGTATAAAACAGTAACTTTTTAAGGTGTAGAGTATGTTTTATTAGTGTCATGCAGATCAAGCATTTAGCACATATTTTACATTATAGCATATAATACATTATAAATTTAGTACATAGCATATTTTCTCTAGAATTAGTATCGTATAAATGGTCGTTAATATTTTAGCTTTTAACATAATTATTATTTTATTTATTTTAAAATATATCAGATGTCAATATGCCATATATGTCAGCTGGAAAATATGGTACTAGTTCACAAGTATTAAATAGATAGCTCATGATCACATTGATTACAGAAAGTAAATTTAATGCCCAAAGTTGACTACTATGTTCATTGGTGTTTTCCATGCTCGTTCAAGAGATAAAATAACACTAATGGGTCCTTTCAGTTGCAGATGATGCCTTACTAAGTAAGAGTTCTTGTCAGTGTAGATGGATCCTTTTCAAATCATCATCATAATTTATTTCTAAAGAAGATATAGGTTGACACAGTAAATTTTCAGACAGACTCTGCAACTGGTTATATGTAGAGTGTATAGTCACATTGATCAATGTGATCTTGAGCCAGTAAACCAGAGGCACACTTTTAAACTAGTACCGATATGAGTTTCTGCTGTTTGTAACTATGAAATATTTCTTATTTCAATTGATATGAAGAAAAAGTTATCAAACTAATGCTTTTCATGCTTAAAATCAGCTATATTTTAGTTATCATTTAAGTTATGTAGACTAAGTATAATCTATTATCTATTTTTTTTATTTATTTGGATTGGATAAAATAAAATGAGAGTGATGTGTGATTAATTCTCTGCATGTTATGATTATTGTTTTGTTTAATACATTTTCTAAAAAAAAAAAAGTTATAATAACCACTAATTTCATGTTTTGTAACAATTTGCTTCTTAACATTTGTAGTTATCGATCCTATTAGATGCTTGCTTTAGAATATCTTAAATAGCATCATCCCCGGCCACCTCTGCTGCACACATTTCCAATATTCCTCACAGGAACCATGCATGTTGAAGATGCAATGATACTAGAAATGATAAATGAGAATTGCGGATTTTCAAATTGTTTAAGCTTTCACTTTACTTGAGCTATTATTTAATAATCACCTGCAGCTTAAGAAACAATTCTTAATAATTTTAATATGAGTTTGAAGGAAATTAAGAAATTATTCTATCAACTTCTTGTATAGAAAATTAAAGTTTATGCCGAAGTGTTAGTTTTACATTTTTTTTACATAAGTGTTACATTTTTCACTTCTAATGGAATCATTAAAACCTTTTTATATTCTTTCTTATACTTCAGTTCTGGTCTTTGATATTGGTTTATGCTCTTTTATTGATCGATTGACTTGTAATTCGTATTGATAAGTTACTTTTACCTATCATGAGCTTTATAAGTGCATACTATTTGTTAACGAAAGCATTGGTTGTTGCTACTTAATTTATTGATGATGTATATAAGTATGATTAGCTTTTCGCCACATTTTTACTTACTTACACTTTCATCTCTTCCTGATAACAGCACAAATAGAAAAGTGAGAAGTTTTTGTTAATTTAAAAATCCGTAGTATTCATTCGAACTGAGCGATTTTTACTATAAAAGAAATAAAACTTGTGGATTTGCGTGCTATTCGAGGTGATGCCCGGTGGAGCTGATGGATGCACCTGTTATAACTTTGACCTGTTGCCGGGACAGCAGAGTGGTTCAGAAGGCTCGGCTCTCAAAAGTGAAGGTACGCAAGCAGGTGTCTCTGCCGGAAAGACTAGCACTGGAACTTGCACACCTAGACTCATCAGAGATTCAACTACACAATCGGGTATTTTACCTTTTTTTTTAAAAAATTAAGTTTATAATTATTAAATTTATCATAATTCAGTTTTATTATTGTAATTGTAGTTTGTTAAAAATATTCTTATCAGAAACATAGCTTTGTTAGTATATTTATATCAAATCCATTTGAGTGAGATATAGATTATTACTAGATATACGGAAAATTATTATTTGATTTATTAGTCAAATCATTTCACATATTAAGTTTACCTTTGAATTAAAATTCATTTGCTTAATGACGATTTAAGGTTATATTACAATTATTTTTTTCTGTGGCATTAAGTCTCTTGTTGCAACAGGGTCACATTCTAAGTTCACCAACAGTCATCCCAGTTCTCTATGCTGACACTAATTTTATCAGTTCCTGGTTATTCGTTAATCATAATTCATTCTGTAACATAAGTTATTTCCAGTTTTATAAAAATCCTATATAAATGGATCTTTTTATATTATAATTTATATAAATTTGTGCTTGACATGGTTATATAGCTTAAATTAACATCTCCTAGACAGTTCTGTGAATTTCCTGGGCTATGTTTTAAAAATTGAAAAATATTTTGTTTTCATAAATTATATTTTATTGAAATGGTAATCAAACTTGAATTCTAACTATTTAAAACTTAACTGTAATGATATTTAATATAAATCCTCATATATTTTCAAACACCACCTCTAGGATAACTCTAGGATCCCGACTGACAAAAAAAATAAACAACTGATTTTATTGCCAAACTCCTTCTCAATTTAATTTATGATTCTTTGATTTGTTTTTAAAAACGATTCATTGATTGATACTTCAACTGCTAATATTTAACATGCTTTTAGTGTCAAATATTTAAATAAATAAGAAAAAATGTCATTAATTGCAATGATTACTACTAATTGATATTAATTATCCAATTTTCAAATCCCCTAACAAAAATAACCAACAGCATTAATGTTATTGAGATTTAAGTTTCTTTAGGGTGTTGGAAGCAATTGTTTTTCTTTTACCTGAATGTATAATAACCATGTCCCATATGAAAAAGAACGAAATGATATACATAGGTTTGTACCATTTTTTATTTGAAAGGGTACTTTGCAATTTAGATTGGACATAACCTTTCAAATCCATTATTTAAGGTATAAGTCCTTTTGAAATTGACACCCTTAATAGGATTTATAGTTGAAAAATTGTAAGAATTCACTTGTGAAGTGTTTTCTAATCATAAAATTTTTCTATTTCAAAGGAAAAGAATATTCAGAAGAAGGAAATGATATGGTTCGGGAAGCTGAAGTCAGGCAAGCAAATAATAACAATATCAACAATATAAATAACAACAATAATAATAACAATAATAGAAGAACCACAAACAGAAAAGAAACAGGTAATTTCTTCAATTCATGTATTTATGCATGTTTTAGATTTAATTTAAATTTAAGAATTGTTATGAAACTTAGCATTTGTTATTCTTTTTTGAGATATTCTTAAAGGAGCGAAAATCGTTTGCATCTTTTTGTATTTCTTCTTCTGTTTACACCTAGTCATAAGCTAAACTTAACAATTTTACGCCTCTGCAGGATTTTATTAAAAACTGTATCACAAAATGGTGATGCAATTGCAATACATTCTGAATTGTTAAATAAAATTAGTAATATTTTCTTTCTCTATATATATAAAAAAATGATCACATTTTTTTAGATTTTCATGGATTTTTTTTCTATCTTCCAAATACAAGAAAATAGTGTATAAAAAGAATACTACTCCTCAGAACGTTGTTATATATATATATATATATATATATATATATATATATATATATATATATATATATATATAGCTAATTAATTTATTTCTAATAGAAATAAATTAATTTGAATGTATTATGGAATTCAATGTATATCATTATTAAGAATTTTTGTTATCTGAAGTTGGTGAGGAGAAAGATTTTTGATACCATTTTTATAGAAGAATTTTTTTTGTAGGAGGGAGAGAAATGAGTTTGGACTCAAACACCTTGAAACGAATGCTCAAACCTATGAGTTCTCTAGAAAGTCCAGTAACATCTCCTGAGATGACTCGACGACGATACAATTACTATAATCATTATCAAGGAACTGGTCATCCTAACAACAACAGGGGAGGACGGGATGTGATGTCAGAAACTGAATCTGGAGGAAGACATCGGAGCAGATTCTCAGGTAATGTTACATTTTTTTTTTTCAAATAAATTACATTTGGTGTTTTAATTTTGCTATTATAACCTTCTTAGAAATCACTAAATCCATGATGACATTTATCAGATACTAAATCAAATATGTTTTAATTTATACTTGCCAATGTATTACTTATATTTTGAGGATTTAGTTATTATTATTTTATAAACATTATTAATAAAAAGCAGAGATTGAGATGGCCATGGCTTTTACTTTTACACATACAAGGCCGTCAGTAACATTGTTATTCATTTGATTCAATGAATGTTTCTTAAAAATTTAACTGTGGTCTCTTGATTGATTATGTCCCCAAAAACTATCTCAAGTACAGCAAAGTTCTTTTGTTCAAGTTTGCACTTGATTGTTTTAAAGAAACCATGAAATCCGATACTTTGCTAAGACAAAACTAGGCGTTATTGACAATGGCAGGAAATTTTTTATGAAATACCACTAATCTACAAGGAATATTTCATATGAAAGGAGGGGAATGAATAGAGATAATGAATGAGATTGGTATAAAGTTAATGTTTAATTAGCCAATAGTAATCTCTGTTTTATTTATAAAAGTGAAAGTTGCATCTGTCAATATAAATCTAATTATATAAATGCTGGATAAAATGTAAATACATCATAAGAAGATCGTTATCATCAGTTATGGAAGATACGTGTTGGCGTTTAATTGTACATAAAAAAAAATGTTATTAATAATTGAATAAATAAAAAAAAAATGTATTCAGTGGCTTTGAAAGTACATACATGTACTATCCCAAACAAAGAATAGTATTATCGTATGTGTACACAAGTATTATGTGACTGCTATGCAATATACATATAGTCAATAGTTAGCCGGTATCTGACTATTTTTGGAACACGAATTGGAATAGGAGGTTTTTGAGTGTGGATACAGAGGGGGCATGCCAAATTTTGATAGGGAGGGAATTCCAGAAGTTGACAGAGCGGGCTGCAAAGGAATTTTGGAATGAGGCAGATCTATGGAAGGGATGTATAGGTCAGAAAGTCGAGATCTTGTGGTGAGGGAAGGGATTGAGGACTTGAATTGAAGGAGGTTGTAGGCATAAGAAGGACGATGATTGTTGATTATTTGATAAAGGAATGTTCCTAGGAAATATTGTCTTCTTAAGGAAGGGAAGAGCCATCCTAACTCAGTATAGTGGTGGGTGGCACACGAGCATCTCAGGGTCCCAATTACAAATCTTACGAAGCTATGCATAAGTCTTTTCTATCACGGAGCTCCTCCGAGAGCCCATTGTACACCACACAGCTGTAGTCAAAATGGGAAAAAATTACAGAGAAAACTAGGAGTCTATGGGTATTTTTGGGGTAGAAGATGGCGGAAACGATGGAATAGTTGAGGATAGAAATTGCAAGTCGGGAGATATGAGAGATATGGTGATTCCAGGAGAGGTTTGATCTATGAAAAAGCCTAATTTTTTAACAGAGAGGTAGAAGGTGATGGGATGGTTATTTAGGCAAGCTGAAGGAAAGTTGATGTGGGTTCTAAGAAGGGTTTGGAACCAATGACAATGGCCTGAGTTTTATCAGTATCTAGCCTTAATCCGTATAAGTTTATTTAATAAAAGAAACGGACATGGTGTCCTTTACCTGCAGGTTACATATACATATTCTAGAATAGTTTATTTCTGTGCCCCGGTGGTAAACAACACCATGTCCATTTTTTCATTAAATAATTTAGTTACTAAGAAACAAATTTTAATAGCTCAAAGCTATGGAAAATTGGCTGTCTGGACAAATATAAAAATTTGACATGGTGTCCTTTACCACTGGAGTACAGATTTAGCTACAGAGAAACAAATTTTAATTGCTCAAAGTTATGAGAATCGGCTCCACTGAACAAATACAAAAATGGAAATGTTATTGTTTACCTCTGGGATACAGATTTTATGTAAAATGTATAATTAACTTTTAAATTGGAAAGAAATTTCTTGTTTGTACTTAAATAATATTTTATAATGGATATTAACTAGAAATTATCTGTTTATTTAGGCTCACGCTCATCACATGAAATCGGCCGAAGCAGTAGCAGCGGAGGTGGTGTCAACAGTAACAGAGGCGGAGGTGGAGGAGGCCAGCTTTACCTCGAACTGGGAGGTGACGCTTCCCCGCCCTCTGACCACGTTCTCTTTGACAATCAATGCTACGCAACCACACCCAGTTCTAGCAACGGGAACTCCGACATGGAGCAGCCAACCGGGCGAGGTAGCATGGTCACTCTTCAAAACAACCAGACACACTATCAAAAACACCAATCTCACTTTCTTGCATGGAATTTTTATTTTCACAAATAATAATTTATGCTTTTTTTGTGATTATCCAATTTTTGACTTAACTCAAAGTAGCTAAACTGACTATTTTATTTTTATACTTATTTTTCTATTACTTCAAAAAAAGTTTTAGACCCATTTAATGATTCTCGGACACATACATTTTCAAGAATTACTTAAACAATTGCATTTTAAAAAAAATATTCTTGTTTCTTCGCCGAATGGATCGCTATATTTATTATCATTGATCTCATTTGATTTTCTATGAAATGGTTTTGGAATATCAGAAGCTGTTTCAGGAATAGAGCTATCTGTCTAAAATTTAGCTTTTTTTTTAATTTTGACAAGTATATAGAATCCAAGGTGATGAACTAGCAATTTTTTATTCCACTCAAACATACCTGGTTGTGATCACGAATGCCTTTTTAAGTAAATTAAATTTGTAATTAAACATCAAGATTTGATAAAAGGCTTAGAAAAATATTTGTTTTGTCACTAAACATTTATAGAAAAAAGTTTCTACCTCAATCCTAAAGAATAGGAACTAAGTTATAAATGAAATTTAGATTTCATTGAATAATTTATTAGTAATTTTTAGTAATCCTATGAATTAACAAACAGAGAACTGTGGTTTTATAAGATAAAAAAAGATAACAGTATGCTATTTTATGGCATAAATTTCCAAATTTATCAATTTGAGACAAGCTTTTCTTTAGAAATAAGCTGTTCTAGACTATTGAACAGAGAATCAAAGTTAGAGATAAATAAAAAATTCTGTACCAACAGAGTTTCTACTCTACAAACAACTATATTGGCATGCATGTATGTTGCTCTCCCCTTTTCTACCCAATATTTCCTTGGAAACTCTAGTAACACACATTTTCCCATTCTCCAGGATCCTCCAAACACAAATCAGGAGGAAAAACATATTTTTATATGGTTTTATAAATGTATAAAATATTTAAAAAATATAGCCACAATATTTATAAACATATTTATACGTAGGTATATGACTTCTGAGTACATATAACATCTGAAAAAATCATTAGACCAATTAAGATTGAAAATTATAAAGCAATAATTGATGAAAGACTTAAGGATTGACAAATATTAATAAATTTATACAAAATATGAATCAGCATTCGAATATAAAAAAAAAAATGTTGATTTTTGTGGATAACCGTTTACGTCGTTTGTAAACTGAGACATAATATCAGTAGCATATGATTAATTTTTTCTCCTTGAGTCATGTCGAGCAAGTAGTTTGTTTTGGTAAATTTTGACAGCTATTGCTTCGAAGTTTGTGTTAAGTGGGAATACTTCTGTAAAGATGTCGTTTCTAATATAAGTTGCAACTCCTCCCCATGACTTTGGGGTTCCTATTCTCACTTTTCGCTATATATAGTACTCTTTGTATCTCACTGTTTATGTTTCTTTTAGGTATGTTTCTTGGAGACAAAATACTATAGCGTTCTCTACATTAAAAATATTTATTAGAGAACTGAAATCATCTTCTGATTTCTCGGTTGATTGAGGTTAAGTTTTTTGTTAAATCCTAATTGACAAGGGTATTACACCATTATATCTATAATCTTATTTACATAAATGCACTTTACACAGTTGAGCTCTATTATGATCAAGGTTCTGATCCATTGCCTTCTTCATTTTCCTACTTTTAAATTTTTATATGTGGAATTTCTTTTTGAAAATGTTTACTTCTTCAATGACTATTTGAATTACTTTTTCTTATTTATAACTTCATTAATTTATAATTTTCAATATTTTTTTTTTAACTTTAAACTTGATTCTGTTGTTGGATCTCCTTTAAATCTGGTTCATACTAAGTTTGAAAAACTAAATAAACATTTAAAATGTGCTTTTAGGTTTCGGTTTTTGATTTTGATTTGTTTCTAGATATAATCTTGAGACTTAAATATATATTTCGGACTATTTTTTCTTCCATGTTAGAGTTATTTTTTAAGTAACATGTATTTTTCATTCTACTGCAATTGAGTATTTATCCCTCATAATTTCTGTTATCTTGTGATTTTTGTCACTATAATTAGACATTTAATTAACAAAAGAATGGAAAAATTGACAAAATAATCATGGATTAAGGATATAAAACAAAGGATAAATTAATGAACAGTTAATACTGAAATTTAAACACCAAATACTTCAATTTTTCGTTTATTCCTTGAAATTTATAACTGACACTATCAATGTAGTCCATCACTGTAGTCTGTGAAAATAGAGGCAATTTCACCATTAAAGGCCATCAAATCCTTTTTAATAATTTTGGAGCATGTTTGGTCCAACCATTTATAAGTTTCTGGGATGTGCTGTCACTGTTACATGTGTTAGTGTCTGTTATGTGGGAATGTTTTTATGAATTTAGAGCTGGTTCTGCATATGTTCAGTTACACTAATGATTTGTAGTGCTGATTGAATTTTAATATTAAACCAAAAACTCTCGCTTATATTTTGAATTACCTTTTAATTTTCTTCAATTTAATTTATATGACAAAGGTGACTTGTGAGCACATTTTGTATATTTTCAAGTGAAATTTTAACAAGGGTTAAAAAGTGACTTCCGCATATAAAAAACTAATCTAGAGTCTCTCCATATGAAATTGATTAATGAAGCTTGCTGACTAAATTTATTATTTTTAATTTTTCATATTACTATATTTAGAGGATTAAAAACAGATATTTATTAATCCTTTAGATACTCATCATTTTCTTTTCTCTGTTGCATTTTATAGAAGTTTCCATTTGATTCTGTAGCCCTTTTGTTTTAAGGATGTGCCTTTTAAACGAAAACCATGTTAGAGACCATGAAATCTACAATATCCTCTGTCTGTTATATATAATTTAACTTAATTGTTAATTATCAAATAAAATAGGCAAATGTTAAGGATTTCAAACTAAATATCGTCAATTTTATAATAAAAAATGTTAATGTCATAAACTAGACTCACATTTAAATATATATGTATATATATATATTTGATATTGTATAGTGTTTTGAGTATACTACTTTCCAATAAAGTTTCATGCCTCGGAATTATATTCTCTTTTAGTAATAGATCTTTTGTATAATCCTTGGTTTAATACGGCTTTTGTTTGACCCAAATATATTTTAAAATAATGCAGGAGCATAGTTTAATGCACAACTATGTGATATAAAATATACAAAACAAGTGTATTAAAAAAATAGTGGATCTAAAAAATCAATGAATATCTTTTCTTTTTTTTTTTTTTAATTCAGTTAAGATGATGATTCGTGCGAGCAAAATCGATCTTGAGTAGATTTTTTTTTTTCTATACTACTTTCAAAAAATTATAATTTTTTTCAAAAAGTCAAATTAAAATTAGTATAAATGGTTAGAAAATAATTTGTGAAGCTTGTAAAGAAGAAGGATTATATTTTTAGTATATAAAACCTTAGAAATAGTTATAAAAAATTAAAATTGATGTATGTTATTTACTTTTGATAAAAGAATAGGGAATTTGTTTAATTTTTTTAGAAAAACTGAGCCATTGTGGGTCCCTTTCACCGATAATTTGATGCATATTTCAACAATTACTAATCATATTTAATTTTATGTTTCTCACACTAATTTTGTAATAGACACAACTTGTATGATTTGGTTACTAAAGTAAGATGGAGTCTTATTGCATCCTTTCAACATTGCATCTGTTTTCCCTTAACAGAGATATTTATTGGTATGGTTGCTTTAGTTATTTTTTTTCTTTCTTTTTGACCTGGATGTTATATCCTTGTTTCTGAGAAATGTTTTCCCTCACTAGTTTTAGTATGCTTGTGTCTGACTTTGTATGTTAGATTACCAAGCCACATGGTCTTTTCATCTTTATTTTTTTAATATGCCTGAAAATTTTCATTGAGCTTTATACAATACAATTTAATTTCCTTCTAGATTGTTTTCTCTAAATTATCATTTAATTAATTAATTTCTCTATTTTAATTTTTGTTAACCTACCGATAAAACTACCCATCTGCCTCAGCCAGATTGTTCTCACATTTCATTAGAAAATGGTCATTCACTACAAAACTATACCTCCTCACTATTTACAATTTATTCCAGCCTCACTGAATCAACAAAAGATGATTAGAACTACAGATTGATTGACTATAAATAATTGACTTGGCTCAGTGAAATATCATTTTGAGAAATTGTTAATGCTTTAGGATGATTTTTTAGTTACCTTATTATCGTTATATTTATCATTAATTTATTTGGTTTGATATCCTTATCTACTCCAACCTGTTCATCCTTTTTTTTTTTTAGTGTTCCCTACCTCTCCAATTATAGCGTACTGGGGAGGGAGAGAGGGTTATTCTAGAGATACAATTTAAACCTATTCTAATGTATTAAATTTATATATAATCATAAAGAAATATAAATACAGAGTATCAGCTGGTGAGATTTTGGTTTTCAGTTCACTTTTCGTGTTTTAATTTAAGAAAAGTATTTACTGATTAAAAAGACTTTAAGATAATAAAACCTAAAAGCACATTGCCTTAATGATGAAGGAAACAGTAAATTTAAATAAATAACAAACAAATATAGTTATTATATATTATGAAGCTGAAACAATTAAAAATAATACTTCTGTTTATAGATAATTGTATACATACAACCCAGAATGTTCATTGTTTTTAGAAACATTCTTACCAAATTTTTAAAATTGTAAGTTGTACCCACTTATATTTTTCACATAATGCATCCATTTTCCTTTTTTTATTTTCTATTAATTTTGTTTTTGGTGGTCTTTATGTAAGTATCCCGGTGTGGTAGTGTGGTATAAAAATTATTACTTTTTCTAATATCTCAAAAGTGATTATTAGAATAATAAGAATAAATTAATTCTTTTTCTAATTTAAGACCTTAAACAAAAAATAAAAATACATTATTTACATTATATCTTGCAATTTCTCAAGTAACACAAACTAATTTTGTAACCCATCAAAGACCCATATTTTATAATATATCCGCGGT